AAGACCAAGTGGAAGCATCCCGTCGCCAGCATTTGTGACAGATGTCCGGCGGTACTTTGAACGCGTAGCAGCCCTTTCGGTTTTTCGAATTTTTTACCAAAACAAAGCAATTTTTCTGTTCATTCTTATCGTGGATAATGAGTCTCAAGCCAGTGATTTATGGCTGAAATAGAATCATGATTTTTCCGTGAAGGATTCCTTTAAAGATAAACGCCATTAGTGTCGAGAAGTCAGCACCAAAACTGAACGAAATTGTATTGTCATGGGGCCGCGTCTTCTTTTCAAGGCACGCTCCGGGATTAGGCGCGCTCGCCTGTTCCATCCCGGGGTAGTAGACAGGCGGACAAGCGTTGATGTCGCGCCCCTTTTGCCGCTTGAAAGTGCGCGACAAAGGCGCAAGGAGCTCGTCCGACCCGCAACTCACACCTTCGTCCGCAAGCCCCACCCTCCGCTGTCGGTTGCCACGTGGCGCTGCTTGAAAAGCGCGGGCGCATTTGAGGCAGCGGTCCCATTGCGACCCAATGTCATTGGCACTGGAGCAACTAGAGTTAGGTTCGTGAAACTCGTCCAACGCGCCCCTTCTCTATCCCAAGGTGGAATGCGGCTGAAATAGGGGAGGTCTCTGTGCGGGGCGTAATCGGTGGTTTCGTTTGCTTTCCTTCTCTTTTCCAGACCACCTCCCACCTCTAGCTTCATAACTGAACGCTTTTCCACACCTATTTTATCCCGAATCTTGCCTTTAAATTATGTCCTCACCACCCAACCCACCATCCAGGATATATTATGCACACAAGCTCATTTTCACCTAAGGCGCATACCTTGCTGATATCGTCAGTACTATCGTGATCAGTTCTGCCGCGGCTATCGCTGCTTGCATCATCACCTACACCGTCAATATTTTCATAACTGAAGCGTCTTCTGGCAACCATCCGCTGTTCGTCCTGCTCGCTGTCATCCTCCTTAAACATACACTTCTATTCCGTGGACAAAGAAAAACTGATGGATCGTGCTGAGATTGCAGAAAATTCTTCGAACCCACCAATGCACGTTCGTGTAAGTCAGAAACTGAACCAACTGAACCTGCTTCCGCGCGACCACTGCTTTTCAACTCATCCTCTAAAAGAAGCAATACTTCAGAATTCCTCTCACAAGAAATGCGTTTACAGATTTGCTTTCTGACTCGCCTGTTCGTACTAGTTCGGATAAAGGGACAAACGGTGCGGCACCAAATGGATCCGTAGAGTCAATGGAACATCGATCGAAGTCACCTGATGAATCCAGCAGTTCACATCCTATAATGACTGTAAGATTGAGAGGATCGAAACGGAATGTCGGTGAGTCATGACCAAAAAGCGAAACGAAAAGCCTGCTCTCGTATATATGCGGGTACGTTTCAGTCTGAAAAAATCCCTGTATACACCGCGGTGCACAATAGATTGCACCCCATAGAAAACTTAATTTTCTTGAGAGCCCGAAACTTTTGTTGCTTCTGCCTACACTATAGTTTAGAAATAGACGAAGGAATAATATCTGTGATATTTATTTGACATTACGACTTTTTCAAAGTTTGTGACAACAATTTTTCACTTTTTGAGCCGGTGCATAATAGATTGGACGATATGTATTGTGGATCAAAAAACAAGACGTAAAGTCTGCTCCTCCCATCTAAGTATGAGCAAAGCGTCCCTTCTTCTCAGTGAGCTTAGGGCTGGAATCAGATTTTAATCAGCGCATTCTAAGCAGCAGAGGCGGTAGAGTTTTCCACTCCTTTGTAATGCCTTTTCTTAGCGGTTGAACATTGTCATACGCTGTCCCATTTCAGTAGATCTTACGCATCAGTATACCCTATGTATTCCCGATAGGTTTGTATCAGGATTACATGCCGGCGAAGAAAATAATGGGTTGGTATTAGATTGAAAGTGGGACAGAGTGCTTCACGAAGTTAGGTTCGAAGTGTTCTTTTGCCCGAAGATGAAGTGCTTTTTGAAGTCTCAAGAAACGAAAGGTACCAGCGTGATGTTGAGGAGTGACTGATAGTTCTGGCTTCTCATTCACAAGAATTAAAATGAATGTCAAGGCTACCATCACTAGAGGACGCCCACCAAACCATTCAGGAGAATGCACAGATGTTGCTTCGAGCACCAGTACTGGTTCACTTCTGCAAGAGCGCCAGTTCGAGTGCCGTTAACACTACTCACCTCCGCCGAACAAAATGTCATCGAAAGAAATTTACCGTAGGAAAAATAGAAATGAGAAATTTGAATTTAACATAAAGCTGGAAATATGCCCAGAACACTCCGCTGCCCAATCTCTGCAATCCTCATCCCTCGCAAGAGGGAGCCGCTTATGTCGATGGTATTGAGTCAGGCGTAGTGTTGGCTTTATTTATTGTCGAACTATGTGGTCCGATATTTTCAACATACGAGACACGGTCCATTTCGAAACGACAATCCCGCAAGCGACAGCCAATTCATAGGCAACCTTTGTGGAACTCAATGCCAAATTAATCAAGCAGCGCCTGCCGCTCTCGGGAACAGTTGACTTCCAAACCATCTTGTTCTCAAGAACAGTTTAAGAATGATTCTTGATCACAGTTGCAACTGTACTCCTAGGAATGGAGGGTTCCTTAGAGATTTGGAGACACCCTTGCCAAGAAGAAGTAACGCTTCAGTTCGAATCCAGTCTTCGTTTGTGAAACGCGTATACTTCACATAATACGTGAGTACATGCGAACTTAAAAAGCAGGAAAAAGGTCGTTGGGAAAAATTGAATATCTCAAGTCGTCCAATCTATTGTGCACCGCCAAAAAAATCAATATTTCACTCTAAAAATTTTCAAAGACAGTGTGTCTAACTGAATATTGTGTCAACATTATTTATCTACTTCCCCAGGAAACATATCAACAGCAGAATCAATAAAAGTTTCGGCCTCTCTCAAAAACTAAGTTTTTTATAGGGTGCAATCTATTATGCACCGGGGTGTATTAATGCGCTCTGTCTGTCTGTCTCTGTCTGTCCGTCTGTCACGAAATTCGGTACTAAGCGAACAACAACCTACAGGGTCGGGTCAAGTGTGGGATGGGTGGGCCAGGTCTCGAGAAGTACAAAACACACATCAGCTGAGCGGAGCTCCGCCCACAGTGGGCGTGGCGTGCATCGAAATGAACTGTACTGACTTTCCGAGATTCAGATACTATACCAAAACAGCCTCGAAACTGGGCCAAAAAGTGGGTAAAGGTGTGCATTGGTAAGTCACATCGAATTAGGGAGACCCACCCCCGGTGGGCGGGGCGTTCTCCAAAAAAGCAGTGCTTTATGAAAAATTTCATAACTCGGTTGGGAGAAAGCCTACAGAGCAGAAAACAATTGGTGTAAGGGGAGCAATGTCTAAGGTGTTCCCAGCATACATGACGTGGGCGGAGGCCCGCCCACAATGGGCGGAGGCGCGCTCTGAAGTGTACAGCGTTTTCTACAAGTCCTCATAATTCGGGCGGGGGAAGTCTTAATGAGCCGGAAAAAGGTGGATAGAGGTGGATGGAGGAGTGGAGGCCAACTGTCATCGGTGGGCGGAGCATGTCCAAAGTGGGCGGATTTTGCGACGGAAATTCATAACTCGGTTCCAAGGAGTCCTGAGACCGGGAAAAAAGGAATTGAGTTCGTCAACGGAAGGGAGGTCAACTGCTATTGGTGGGTAGGGCGTGCACCAACGTGGGCGGAGTTTGCCCTAAACTTATAATTTAGTTCCGGAAGTCCAGGAGACCGGGAAAAGAGTGGGTCGAGAGTCCGACAACGCACGGGAGGACAGCTGCTATTGGTGGGCGAGGCATAACCAAAGTGGGCGGAGTTTGCGACGAAAATTCATAACTCGGTTCCAACAAGTTCCAGGAGTTCGGGAAAAGGTGGATAGAGGTGGGTGAAGGAGGAGCCCAACTGCTGTTTGGTGGGCGGGGCATTTCCAAGGTGGGCGGAGTTCTCCACAAAACTTTGTGACTCGGCTGCAAGAAGTCCTGAAGACCGGGAGAGAAGTGGCGAAGGAAAGGAAGTGAATTTCTAATGGTGTGCGGAGGATACACCAAAAAAGCAGGATTCGCCGCCAAAATTATAAATCGGCTCAGAGATAGTTCAGAGATCGGGTAAAAAGTGGGAAGAGGTTGGCGAGGAAGAAAAAGATAGGTGGGACATGCAAAGAAATAGGCGGAGTTTACCACGAGGTTCATAAATCGGTCCGGAGGCAGTCCGAGGCTGGGAAAAACGGACAATCGGTGGAGGAAGGAGGGCAGGTCAAAAGCCATCGGTGGATGAAGCATGCGGCAATCGGATAGAATTCAGCTTGAAAGTCAAATATTCGAAGGGCCAAATTCGAAAATTCACGCCGCACCATCACCGCATCATCGCCGCAGAACTGTGCTGTGCGCGCAACGCGTGCGGCGCCAACTGGTATTCTAAAAAAGGATAAAGCATTTGCCGTTGATCAATCCCTTTTTGGGATGCGGCACGCATTCTACTTCCATTTGTACATTCGTAGTGGCGTTTGAATGCGATGTGGCCTATACAATGACTTGCGGGGGCCAGCCGATGTACAAGTCAGTGTTTTTATCCTCCCAGACAAGTCTGGTACCACCATTGAAAGGAATCTTCCACGGACCATGGACCAGTGGGCGGGACCGGAAGTTTTTGTGACGAAATGCATGGTAGGTACGGATCCACGTGTCGAACGCACGAACGTGAACAGGATTCACTTCAAACCTTCCCATGAACGTGGATCCGTACCTACCATGCATTTCGTCGCAAAACCTTTCCGGTCCCGCCCACTGGTCCATGGTCTGTGAAGATCCTCTAATCCGATCCCGGAGGATACAGCTGGGTTGGCCCAGACGAAGCGCACCCAGGATTCGATCCTAGGATCGCGCGCGTGGTAAGCGTGCCTCTACACCACTTCCACCCGTATTTTACATCACTTCCACCCGTATTTTACATAGGGAACAATCAATTCAGAGTCAACTAAACTTATGCTGCTCTTTCTAAAAAGTGTGTCGAATTGGAAAGATCCACGTCAACACGACAAGATCAGTCCAGCTAAAGGATTGCAATCTTAGAAGCCGAAGGACTTCACTGCAAGAAGTACGTGGAACAAGAAGAGGAAATCATCAAGCAGCCAAACGATAGTAAATGACAAGATTCGTATCACCAATGCTTGACCTATGACTGCCAAAATAACATATTGACGACAGCGCATGGTTTTGGCTTTTCTGGCCATGTGGGAGGCGAGCACATTGGCGGGCGCGCGATCTTTGAGGCGCGCAACTTGACGTCTCACTGCCCAACAAGGTGCAATTTATGAAACACTATACTGAAAGCAGCGGAAGAAGAGTAGAATGAGAGTTGGGAGGGGAACCAGTCAGCGAAGGCTTGCCTGCGCATTCTAAGCGATATAGGGATGATAAGTGTGAAAGATAAGGTTTCCTAAACAAAGGAGTATAATCAGTTCAGTGAAGTGGAGAGTAGGAAAAGCCACATGAAATGCATGGAAACCACAAGTTGCGCATTTACGCTATTTCCTCGAAGGCAAGAGTCGGGTTGCTGCGCACAGCGTTCCCACTCTCGACCTCCCCAACTCAAAGCGCTCGAAACAGGTTTAGCAGATGTAATCGAGCATATCTAACCATTTCATGAACAATGGCGTTTATGGTTAGGCTGATGAATAATCAACAGAACTAATACAATCAACCTGAGAAGAATCCGCGCATGCGATTGGATGGCAAGAGCGAGGCAAGGGCGCAACCGCGCCTCAATGTCCAACAAGCTCTGCAAAAAGAGACGCGCAACCGCGTCGAACTCTCATCAATGTATTGAAACGCCTACCTTTGAAATTTACATTTATAGACAAATCTAACTTCTACATTGCATCTGATGATTATATGAATATTCTTTTCACCTTTAAGAGGTCGTACCTGTGTTCAGTTGCAGGAAAATTCTTATAAATAAAACAAGGGTCATGTAAAAGGCAAACAGAAATACAACCTTTCTCTTTCTCTGTTTTTCGGGGTAATTCATCGAAGCACCTTCCAAAATGACTATCATCCATCGTCGGGGAACTGCCGAATGGAGCCGCCATAAACGGATTCCAGATATCGTCCTGTAATGTTGCTGAAACAATCGTAAATGAACCACGTTAAATTGAGTGCTCATGCAAGGGATATTTCACTTTTATAGCCAACATTTTAATCTATGCAGGCCTCAGCCGCCAGCGGTATTCATTTCGAAAGTTTAGGTCACCTGTAGCAAACCAGCTCTAGTCAGATTAGCAGTGACCTGGCTGTAAGATTGAAACATTTTGGCCTCGACGGCTGCGCAAGTTCTTGACCAGTTCAACACATTGTGCCCATATTTAGCAAAAGTTGAACATGGAAGGACTGGGAATGATTTTTCTACAACTCACCGTGTTCTTTTCCGAGACATTGTCTAGTCCTGAGCTTGACAGCGATGTCTTGATTACAAGTGAGGGTTGCTGTACCTTTCCACTGACTGTAAGGCCTGAAAATACCAATTACATAATGCGGTCGCGCAAGAACGAGGTCATTTCGAATTCCATTCAAAAGAGCATTAGGGCGTTAAACAAGCGAGCGATAGAACACCAATGTATGTAACAGAAAGAGAGGCAATATATAGCGTAGAACAACAGATGTCCTAGACTTACACACATTGGAAAAGGTAGGAAAAGATTAACAGGCCTTAATTATAACTGCTCTCGCCCTTAAAACCCAAATAAATTTGAAATCAGGTCGGAAGAAAGCCTACAACACCTCTGCCTAGTTTTGCTTTAATTTCATCATTCTTGCTTACCAATCACAACCAGTGATATATTTATCATCATTTACCATAATTTTACCTTAACTTTTACTTTTACTTGAACCTTCTACTTTCCATTCCCTTGCTTCTGCCCTTGGTCTGATGTTCATTAACAGTGGCACTCACATGAGATATAATAAATAAATAAATAAATAAATAAATAAAAAATAAATAAATAATAAAATAAATAAATAAAAAATAAATAAGCATTGTCCATCAATTGTCCTAAACCCTCGAATATGGTCGTCGTCGATGCCTTCTAAACTTAGCCGGCTGCGATTCAAAAAGCAGGTAGCCTGTTTTGAAATCTAAGCTGTTTGTCGAACTTTCTTGCCAAGATGATGATGAGCCGAGATTCGGAATTAGTGGTAGTCATCTTGGCGCTTGACCAGACCCACGACATGTGGATGGGAAGTACTATCAGTGAGATAAACCCTGCGCGGATAATGGAGCGCTTTTGGCAAAAGCCGCGTCAGCCAACTCGTCTGGACGTGAATCTTCCGCCAGCAATGGCGCCTATCCTGAAATTCATAATCGGGCTCACCAACACTGTAGCGGTACCCATGACTCCTCAATTTTATATCTTTTACTACACTTATTACTAATAACTTACAACACTATAAGCTTATTACTAACACTATTAACTTTAAACCTACTCCCTGCACTGTGGCCACCTACCAGCAGCGAGCATCTCTCGAAGTATCGGCAGCTGTCTTCCTCTACGTTGGGTTCGATACCTTTCAAACGTAGGAGCTGGCTTCCTACATACCCTCTTTGCCATTTCCTTGCGCCGTAGTTTTTTTCTCTGCTGTCCATCAAGGCAACGAGTTCAGCGTGAATAGAAGATCTCCAATGATCCTTTTTCATCTTCTTCATTATGATATCCCGAGTTAGACGTAGGAGGAACGGGCACGGTGTTGAGCGTGGTATTCCAGACCACAAATTTGTTGGCGAGCAGTTTCAAGCAGTTCAGCAAGGGTACGGAATGCGACACACTAACTGGCAAATTGTGCTTTGCGCTATTTCAAGAAAATTAAATACAATAAAATTCAAGCAAACAGAAGAGTCCTATGGATCTCTAAGTGAGATTTGCACTGAAAGGAACGAGCGCTATTCAAGGAACAACTCTTTTGCAATTAAATGATCGTTGGTAGATGTTAACCGAAATGTAGGCAACTACAGGCAAGAAACTAGCGCAAGAGTGATCTTCTAGAGGTGGTTTCCCGTTAGCGCAACGAGGACAAGACAGTATTTAGTAGTGGGAGAAAAAAGAGCAAAGATAAAAATTAAGAAAATTACTTGAAAGCGCTGCGGATGATATGCGATGTGTCACTAGTATTCCGACGATGAGAATGATAACTCGGCGTAACAGTCTTTTCCACAGTCGGAAGCGATGAGGTGGAAGATGCTGATTCTTCCAAAGTCGAACCACTGCAGCCTGCTAAAATTAGTAATGAATTATCGAGAATGGAACTCAACTCACAACCAGTAGTTCACAGTTCATATGTTCAGAACATTTTGATTAAAAAATCCTGGAATGGTATCCAGTCCTGACAAGGGGGGGATGGGCACTTCAGTGAGCCTCAATACTAAGCATGAGGATAAGAGTGCTCATGACACGTAATCGACTCATTTGAAATATAATACTTCAATAAGTAACGGCGTAGTACGGAAGTGCTCCCAACGTGCTTTCACATTACAGGGGTAGTGTTCCAAAGAAACGCTTCCGAATCAGGGGAATGACATGCTTGCCAAAACCTGAGGGTGGAGTGGTCCCAGAAAGGATAGGGAGATACCAACAATTGCCTAATATAGGAGGGCGAGGAATGTGGGATGTAGACCACCGGTCCTTTTCGAAAGTACACTAGAAATGAGTCGTTTACTTGTTATCTTATCCATAGTGTTAGAGAGTCAAAAGGTGGGCTCTATGGTACTACGTAGAAGATGACAGGAATAACAGGGAGAGCCCCCTCCCTCTCAAAACTCCTTTTCACCGCAGAACCCTGTATCAATTCTATATGATGCACGAACATAATTCTGATATGGTTTTGATAATTTCTCCGTCCTTTAGAATGACGCCGGCAGAACATGCGATTACTTAAGCAAATTCATCGTGACATTTGCCATGCGTTACACATGCTTGTAAACAATGATGCTAACTCTTGAGCTAATGGCTCGTTATCTTTGATCTGAGGATTCGTTCTTTTTCGTTTTCTAAAGCAAGAAGAAGCTATCAACAGTCGCCGCTGAGTCGTGAGGGGGTTGTCGAAAAATCGTGGAATCTACGTTGCTTCGTATTCAACAGAAAACTGTTTATACCTGCGTCACCGCTCTTTAGGATGCACCTTTATGTATTGTAAGTTGATGCATCTCGTATCAACTGATCATATGCCTCGAATGGCGAGGTCCCATGTATTAGTAAGCAGTCTATGGATAAACATGCTTTCCCGCTCATTTTGCTGATGAATCGGACTAGCGTTTCTCAATACAACGTAGCCGCTGATGTGGTTGGAGCAGTCATTGTCTAGCACACCTGCAGCTCCACTTCTGCTCTGTCATTGTCTAACACACCTGCAGCTCCACTTCTGCTCTAAATACCTCTGCTACTGCATTCTGATAGCCAGTGCCCTTAGGTCTTCCACAAATTCGAGAACATACAGCAGATGGACAACATGATTGTCACGCCAAAGTGTAAGGCGGCTTCAAAAATAGAAAGCAATCCGATAAAAATATAAGATTGAGCCTATTTATAAAAGTGTCAACTTTGCGAGGAATCGCTAGCGAATCACGCTGTTTACTTGCACATATTGGTGGTATTAACAGTGATGGACTAGAAAATGTCCAGAGGAAATTGTCTTCAACATGAAGACGGGGAAGAAGGGAGGACTTTTCAGAGCACAGTTAGAGTGAATGAGGCTTAGCTAGAATGAGCGAGTAAATATTTATTTCCTCTAAAAAGAAATGGAAAGAGATAACGCACCATGTTGCAAATGAACGAATGGATTTGGATTCGACACCACTTTTGAAAAACTTGTGCCATCGGTGCAGTCAGCAGGCTTCACCGTGGTTTCTGAACATCACAAGTCACCAGTGAAGAAAGAAAAAATGCAAGTCCAGATTAGTTTAGATATGCCAAATCCAAGATCAGATAAGGTATTGAAGGATAGTAAAACGACTCACCCAAGTCAGTAAAACCTAAATCGGAGGGATGAACAGCTGTAGATAGAACCTCCTTATTTTCCGAAGCGATGTGTGGATAGGCTGCTGAAGTTAATCTTAAGTCATTCTCCAGTGATATGGTCGATTTGCAAAAAGGGCATGTGACAATTAGTGTTAGTGATTTTTCAAGCCATTTCAAGCACATTTACAACACCAGAGCCGAAAGGCAAAAGTAGAAAAGTAGTCAGTTGTGAATTTATCGATTATAACCCGATTTCGACGAACTCCAATCACGAAAAAATCCCCAGGTGTTGGACTCTCATTGAAGAATCACGAAGGCGAAGGACAACAGTTCCTGCGAAACAAAAACATGTAACCTTACCGTCTCGAGCTTCCGCACTTCCACCAGCTTCTTCAGGTGGGACGATGAAGTTGTCTCGAGGCAACACCTAAAGCACTCACACTAACAATATCACGATAACTTCGAAATTCCTCAAGAGAAATCTCTCGAAAATAACAGGGCCATCTGTTTCGTGCTGAGCCTATATCTTCGTGCAAACCTTGCAGTTCAATTCGATCTCACTACTTATGTTAGAACGTAGAGCTTCTAATAAGAGCAACCCCGCGCTTACATCGATAATAAAAGTTTTGGATATGAAGTGAAAATAAATTTTTTCATCAAATACCCCAAAGCTGAGATTTGGAAACACTAACAAGTGAGCATCATCAACTACGAGCATGTAAAAAAGAGTCACACTTACTTTCGTATTTGAGAGCACAAACGGAACTACTGGAGTACTGCTAATCGGTTTCGGACGAAGGCGAGGTTGAACCGAGGTTGTT